ATGCTTAAAATCAAAATGTTTTGGAGGACTGAAGAATTTCTTTCCTTTCTTTAAAGCTGTTGGTTAAGGCTGTCTGTACATTCATATGAAATGCAGTCTTACCAGCAAAAGATCTGAAGGGAAGTGGAGTGTGCATTTTTTTTTGCATTTTCTCATTTTTAATGAGAAATCAATGTCTGAAGCATAAACTCCATAGCAGGAGAATGGCTTCTTCAGCCTTCTCCCATCGCCAAAATAGAGAGGGTGGGAGAGCTCTAACCTGAAAAATGCCTGCATCCCTGTGAATGAGTACTGCCTGGCCTTTACAGGACATCTGTCTGGCCCTGTCCTCAGTATAGCAGCACCATGTTAAATTTGAATTATAAGAGATCCATTGATCTTTCAGTCCAGTCAGGGTATCTGATACAAGGGACACCTTATTTTTAGTTTTCGTGCTTAGAAAATAATAAATCTGATTTTCAAGCAGGAAGGAGCTGAGTGATTCTTGCCCATTAGGAGGCACTCAGCTCTTCAAATGCATTAGCCAAGTGGTTTTGTCATGCTGTATGAGGGACATCCTTTGATTCCCTTTTAGCCACAGTCTGGTGAGGCACAGGTTACGATGGAGAGTGATACCCAGCAGTCGTCTTCTCTCCTCTGCAGAAATAGTGGACTGACTTTGGAGCAGAGGGACTAACAGGTGCACTGCTTGGTGTGTTTTAGGCTCCTGCTGCCAGAAGCACCTCCAAAGAAGTTCCTCACTCTGGGCTCCAAGTTTCGCTACAGCGGCCGGACGCAGGCCCAGACGAGAAGAGCCAGCGCCCTCATAGACCGTCCAGCACCTTATTTTGAGCGCTCTTCTAGTAAACGTTACACCATGTCTCGCAGCTTAGATGGGGGTAAGGTCCTCTCAATCGACTTTGGCAAAAGTTATCATCAGGTGGTAACTGCTTGAGATTAGGTATAAACCTCTTATCTTGCCTCCTTGAGGTTCGGCTGAGTAGAGGGTGTGAGTTCCTGCACGGTCACTGCAGGAGTAGGGGATGGATACAGAGAAATGTCATGCTAAGTGTGCTGTTGTGGTCCTTACAAAGTGTTTGTCTGGATGAGGTCCTTGGGAGACCATTCTTCACACCTGCAGAGCACTTCCGTGCTTTGAGGAGGGACAGGATGACTGGACCTGCCTACCCAAGAAAGTCAGGCTTCAACACTTTTTCAGGGTTTGCATGAGTGACTGTTTGCCTTTTGGTTGAATTTTTTCCTGTGTGGGTTTTTCCCTTAAGTGTATTACAATTCATAAATTATTTCCCTCGAGTAATAACTCTTGATTCCAGTTACCTCACATCCTAGTTGGATGAGCACTAAGAGAGTTTCTTCAAATGTTACTTTTGAAGGTATGAGATGGAGAGTAACATATGCAGTTTAATAGTACATCCTTCCTCTCTTTATCTGTGGTTCATGGAGGTCATGGTTCTTCTGCTCCATTAGGTCAAATTAGCACGTGATTTAGAGTATCAGCTACTTCCATTAGCTGTTACTGTGTCAGCTGTTGAATAAAAAGAAGTTGTTGTTTTGTAGTTTATTTTTGTAGGAAAAAAAAAGACTGATACTAAATTCAGAATCTCTACAGTTTGAAAAAAAGAAGGTGAATTTTCCTGCAGAATATCACAAATTGCAATGAGTATTGTTGGTGGTGGGGAGGGGGAGAAGCTTTGATTTAAAAGTACTAGTGACAGGCCTTCTTCTCTCCTCCTAAAGGTGCTGCTTGTCGTTTATTATTTTGGAATCTTCTAATTCTGATGTGCTTCTTGCTTGTTACCAAGCAACTGGTGACCTGATTGCTGTGCATGTGTATCAAAACAGAAATTACTCTTCTGCATTTATTTTTGTTTGTAACATCTAAGCAAGATGTTTCCCTCTACTCCCTTTGCTTTCTCCTGCCTCCCAAGCTTGTTCCCAAGAGATGAGATACCTGACACGCTTTCCCAAGCATTTGTTAGGCTCTGCAAGGTTTTTATGATGTTAATTTGCCTACGTGCAAATGGGGGAAAGAGGTTTTTTTTAATCAATGCTTATGATTTCTTCACTAATATTGTTACTATAGCGCAGATGTAGCTGTAACATTCTGCATCATGATTACACTGTGATCCAGGCTCTGTCATTTGTTACAGATGCAAGTAACTATAGATTTGAGTAGTCCTATTGGCTTAGAAGATAGTTACACAATAGTCGGGAGCAGGGTCTGGGTATATATTAAAGTTTTGATTACATTGTGTCTGTAAATTTACTATTTATTTCAAAATCATTTCTATATATTTAATTTTTCTGAATTATTGAATGTTTGCATCCTAAAATATTCTGGTTGGGTCCTCTGAATTGAATGTCATCACTTCCCAGAATATTTTAGGGTAATAAGCTCACCTAACTGGCAGAGTTTAATACTCACAAATACAAAGATCACATTTCTTTCTTCCCAGGTGTTATGCCTGTGTTACATCAATATTGTCATTTTCTGTAGTGCAGCATGTTACTTGCTGTGTATTTGATCTGCATTGTTATATTCTGACAGATTCTTGAAAAACATCTCTTCCACCCCCATGGCTGATGTCATAACTGGTTCTCCTTATGTTTCCTGCCTGATAACTGGCAATGCAATGATTTTTTTTGTCTGGTGTTTTACTACAGTAGTATTTTTAATGGCTTGCTAACATTTAACAACTGTGTAATGCACACATTAACTATGGTAATGTGTGTATACACATCCATAATATATGTTTGTGCATATAAAAGCTATGAGCTTTTTTTCAAGTAAACAGTTTATTTAAATGTATGCACATGCTTCTGGTTTCCTGAAACATGACATAGTTGTTTTCAGCATTATCTCAAATGTTTTTCTAACCCGGCTTTTTAATTTTATGCAGCTTCTCAGCAAAAGCTATTTCAGACTTTCCCTCTTTAAATATTTGCTTTTAGCATCAGTGAATGAAAACCATGAAATGTACATGAAGGATTCTGTGTCTGCTGCAGAGGTTGGTACTGGCCAGTACGCCACAACAAAGGGCATGTCTCAGACCAACTTGATAACCACTGTGACTCCAGAGAAAAAGACAGAAGAGGAGAAAGATGATGAAGAGGGCAAAAAGAAAAGGGCAGAGGAAGTCACCCCAATCTCAGCAGTACGCCATGACACTAAGGTAGAGTTTTCAGGGGTTTGTATTCAAGAGACCTGTCTGGAGAGAGAGAAATGCAGAATATGTAGGGGGGGAGGGAGGAGATTAAACTGGTTCTGTGAAAGGAAATATACACAGTTGTATGTGTGTGTATATATGTGTCTGGAATCAATGTTTTTGTAGTCCTTTCAGTTTTCATATGATGTTGTAAAAGTTAGTTCCTGCCTCAGGCTGTTTTTTGAAATCAGTTAAACAGTCAGCACGGTGTTTTTCACGTAACATTCAGGAACTCTTTAGGAAATACCCAAAAGTAGCCTGGCAACGCATGTGTGCTCTTTTTGACTTCAGTCATATTTTGGTACTATGGCCATCACATTTTTTATTTTTTGACAAGGCAACAAAATAGTTCTGCATTCTTGTATGTAGCTCTGTGCTTTAAACTACTGCATTTTTCTCTTATACTTCTCATAACAGTCTGTTTCCTTGCGTGAATTTCAATGGGCATTTTTCTCTGTTAACTTCTGGGTTTAATCTGCTGTTATAAGCTTTCTTTTTTCTGGCTTACAAAATCATTAGCTTCCCTTGTTAGAAGTTTTGTATTGAAGAAAACAGGTTTTGTTGATGGTTCTCAGTTGTTAAATGGAAGTCATGCCTCACTATCTCCAGTCCCACCACCACCACATACACACACACACACACGGCTGTGCATTATATCTACTCAGTTATTAAGACAGGATAAATAGTGAATTTCAGAGATTGAAGAGAAATATGATAGAATCAGAAAGGATCAGGTGTAGAATGTCTTCTGTTTCTTTTATATTGAGGATAAGAAAACAGAGTATGAAATACTGAATCTAGGATATCATTCAAAAGGTGTACTTAGGATGCCAAACAAGTAAAATTTACCCTTATCATTTAGGAAGAAAAACCTTGATGTATATGTCTACACCCACAGAACTGTCAGGCATGCAAATGTTAGAACCTGAACTTTTAGCCTTATCATATAAAGCTACAATGAGCTACATAGCTAAAGGATCAAGTCCTCAGAAAGAGTTGCAATTAAGGTAGCAAAATCAGAAACAAATTGAATTGCTGAAAATTGCAAATGAGAAAAGATTTTCTTTTGAAAGTTTGCTCTAATTGTAACATTAAAAATTAACCTCTACAGGATTTAACTGGGGTCTTCTTGAAACTCCATTAGTTTCTGCATGGAGAAACATTGATGAAAGTCAAATATGAAGCACATATCCAAAAGAAAGTAGTTCTGTTCCGAATGTTTGTTAATTTAAGTCAATGGAGCGATCAGCTGCATTTTGAAGATCATCTAGCTGTGCTTTATATATGGCTAGAAATAGTCAAAGATATTTTAGGAGACAGTTTTGATGAAACATAAAAATGCACAAATGATTGATTTTTACCCCCCACTCAAGAGGTGGGTTCTGTTTAAACCAGCCATTAATAGAGCTTCCATTCTGTAAGCCTATAGAGATCTTGGTCCTGCTTCCACATGGACCTGCTAATAAGGAGAATAGGGTCTCAAGAAACACAGGACAAGCTTGAAATCAAATTCCTGTGTAAGGGTATATAAATTTTATAGGTAGGTTTTCAATTTTTACATTAAGTTATATTGCCTTTGTGTTATCCATATGTATTTAAGTACCAGAGGTTATTCTAAATATTAACACTGCAAAGATGTCAGTAAGTGAATAGGATGTATTAGCAAAGAATACATTTACTTTGGCTTTTTTGCCTTTACAATATAAAGAGAAGTTCTGTGTATTTAGCTTACATAAAGTCCTGTGAGTCTATCAATCAGCCTTAAATTTTTACTTGAGCTTACTGCAATAAACCCATAAAGACATTTGTAAGCAGTCTGAAGCTAAGCTTGGTTTCGTTTGCTTAATTTGGGAATACAGATTGCCTGAACTAAGAGATTGTTTTTTCACCTGTTCTGATTAGAGAATAGAGAAGCAAAATTTTAAGAGGAGGGAAAGGAGCTCTTCCATGTAATTATTTGCCTTAAATCCCATTCCTACCATTAATATACCTGATGAAGATCAGGCTTAGTAGCTAGCATTGATGCAACCTGTGTCTAAAACTTGGATCCTGCTTGTTGCCTCCAATTTGACACCAGCTTATATTGGCAAATGCTGTTTTGGCTTTGAAGTCATTTTGCTCCTGGGAGCCTGGAGTGGCAATGGAGTTGAAATGGCTTTTATAGCAACTTGGGGGGGGATGCACTGTGGATGGTGCAGCTCAGGCACTTAGGGTTTGGTCATGGAGCCAGTGTGTCACTTCAGCTAAGTGCACCTGGTGGACTTTGGCCAAAACATCTCTGATTCATCAGCGTCGTCGCAGATGTGTTGTACTTGGGTATGTATTTTGGTGATGACAGTGATTGTTGTCCTTCTAAAGAGCAGTTTTGGCTGCCTGCAGAGAGTATGTGAGGTGACAGTCACTGTTTCTGCTGAATCACCTCCGTCCTACCAATTTTTTATCCTCAAATGTCCTTAAAGATCGGTTGAATGCCCTACAAGTGGCATATCAAAGCAAACTCTGCTTGTTGGTAGCAAATATTCTTTGCATTGTGGTAAAACTTGTACCAAAAGCATTGGGTGTATTTTTACCTCTTCACTATGGGTAAAGGGTCACGTTTTGTCTGTGAGGAGATGTGGCAGTTTGGGGCACAGATCCCTGTCTGGTTGGCTCCCCTTTGGACCTGCTGCAAGAGAGCACAGAGTCTGGCTAGCCACAAACCTCAGCTCCCTTCTTTCAACATGCCGCCGAAGTGGTGGCACACCGTGTGGAGGGTTGGCAGGGTGCACAGCTGGGAGGGGGTGAGCCCTCAGTGCCGCCTGCTCGGGCTCAGGGTGAGCAGAGGTGGGGGCTGGGCTGTGGGGGTGCCCAGCAGAGACCAGTCAGGGCAGCAGTAGGACCCATGTTGAGGAACTGCCTGCTGGGGTGGGTTATTGAGCTAGTTTTTTCCATCAGTAGCAGCTGACATAGGGATTTATGCGCCCCCAAACTAGAATGTGTTTTAGTCAGGTTTAGAACCTAGATATATTTTTATATAATATTACAGTGGAGAAATTTGCTCATGTAGAGTTTTAAAATCCTTGGGGGTTTAATTATTTCTGCTGAGGTTGTCCAAGGCATAGATAGGAAGCATCT